CCGAGAGTTATGCCACCAGCCGTAATCTCCTTAAGCCGAGTAACCAGCTTGTTGATCTGATCCTGCAGAGGTTTGGAATCAGACATCTCCGGAGACTTGATCACCGACTGGAAGAGACTCCAGACGAATGCCGTGTCGGGTGTACCAAAGGCTGTCTTAAGGGCCGCCCACATTTCCTTAGCGGTCTTGAGTTCACCACTAGATCCCTCGAGCAAATGATGCATCGAGCGATCAGTCCGCATAAATAGAACACCCTGAGCACGGGCATTCTGTTTCTTGTACTCTGTGTCGGTAGTTACTGTTGCAATAACAGCGGGCCAGGCCTCTATGAATATTAAATAACCGCGCATAGCGGCAGACCAGTCAGCGTATTGAGACGCTGAAGAGAGCTTAGGGATATTGTCTGGCTTGACGTCACCCATGGTTGCGGATAAGAGGATAAATTCGCCTTGTGTGTCGGGCGAAGAAGGAGGTTCTGGTGTAAATAACTCGAAGGGTAATTCCTCCGGTTCAGGTGTTTGAGATCTCGACTCAGGGAGCGAGATTAAATGTTCAGGTTTTGGAGGTGACTCCGAAAATTCGTTGGCGAATAGGAAATTGTCTTGCCAAGCTTCGACAGCGATACCAGCTTTGAAGCCTCGAGGAAAATCACCAGATGGTGTGTGGTAACGGTTTGGACAATGAGTGTTATCACAGTTCCACCAGGTTTGATCGTCGTCTCTATAATGAGCGTCGCAAACCTCCTCGTAGTCGTATAGATGGTAGTGGTTTGAACAATCGTATGAGTCGTCTGACTCTTCGCCTGAAGAGACCTGAGTCTCTGCAAATGTCTCCTCTTGAGACGTTGCCACAGTTGTGATGCTTCACTGAAAAATATTCCAGGAACAAAGATAAAATTTGTGACGCGACTACAAATACTTGTCTACCCAAGCCAAGTGATTGCCCTTGTGCAAGTCCCCAACTTCCCTAGTAACCTTAGAAAGGTTCTTGCTAAGCTCCTTGAAGGAGATCTTCCCAATCAGCTCGCAGACAAGCTTGACGTCGTTGAGCGCGTCGTGCGACCACGAATGACCCTCTGTCTCAAAGTGAGAACAGACCCAATTGAACCGACGTCCAAAAGCGTTGAGGTTGTCGGTGAGTGACCAGCGAACAGTGTCGCGCAGCTTGTGGGTGAAGAGAGGGTGAAGGCGCTTCTGAACGGCGAAGAGACGCTTCGTGAGGATGGCGGCCTTCTCCGTCTGAGACTTCTTCTTGAAGTCGGCGTCAAACGGCTTAAGGGCTGTGATAGGAAGGGGAAGAGGTACGCCTTCGATGCGTGCGATAAGGGAAGCCTTGGCAGCTTCTTTGGCGGCGGTTTCAGCGGCAAGCGTAGCAGCGTACTCCGCACGTCGAGCTTCAAGGAGTGCCCTAGAGTCGTCTGCCTTCAACTGGAGCTCCTCAAGCTGCTGCTCAAGGGTCTTGCGACAGGACGCCTTCGGGGGACGAGAGGTGTCAGGGCGACGATAGGTGGGACGGCGAGGGCGCGGGGTAGGAGTGAGGATGATATCGATCTGGCGATCGATGGGTAGATGACCGTATAAACGCTGATGACGCTCAGCAACAGCGCTAGTGTCGGCGTCGCCTACGTCGTATCTCTCACGACGAGACGGTGGAAAAACTTCGTAATTGCTCTTGCGAGCTACCCTGGAAATGCGCTTGGACAAGGCTTTGGGCACTTGTCACAGAGCGGCTAAACAGTAGTCCAAATAAGGACAAAATATGCCAACTCACTCTTTCAAGAGTTGGGCTTTGGTTGCGCAAAAGGTACAGGTGATATAAACGATCAGAGCGCGGGGCTCATAACCTGTTGAAGTGAAAGAGGTTTAGAAGGGCTTGTTAGGCCAGTGGAAGTGAAGGACAGTAGAGTGGAGTGAACAGACCTATCCCAGAGGGAAGACTCTGATGCTAGGCAGGCAGAAGAGAGGAGAGATCGTTATCCATTAGGGGGGAATCACCCTAGTATATATACATGTCTGGGACTGATCACATGCTACATCAGTAAGCAGATCAGTAATCACTAAGTCCGAGTTTTAGGGAAATGAGTAAGCCTTAACTCCAGAGATAGGGATATGCATAAGCGTCCATGTGATCAAGGAATGTACTGGAAGGTCATGGAACATGCCGGAAGGGAGTGGAATGATCCAGAATAAGTCTGGAACAGTGTAGATCGGTCTGGAGCGAGTCACAAGATGAGTCCAGACAGAGTCCATCAAAAGAATGTATGTAATACTACATCGCAGAACACAAGTCCATATATGTACGTAACTGATAAGATAAGATAACACTGGAAAGTCGGAAGTTCAACACATCGTACAAGCCGACACGTCGGCCGCCGTCGGCTCATGCGATGGTGTTCCGCGAGACTGCGCGTCGGCTGTAGGATGAGGATCGGTGAGAAAGCGCTGCTTGGTGTGCCGCCTCAGCTTCGACGACTTCGTCTCCCACCTCTTCGAGATCTTTAGTGGCATTGATCAAGGATGCCCCCTCTCCGTCCTACTCTACAAGATATACAACCTCGTACTCCTCGAATGTGCCGACGCCGCCCAAAAGGTGGCGGCCCTCGGGTTCATCGACGACGTAAGTGTCCTAGCTGTTGGCAAAGACCTCGACGAGACGTCAAGCAAGCTCCGTAACTACATGGACCGCCGAGGTGGCGCAACAAACTGGTCACGCACACGCAACTCCAGGTTTGCACTGAACAAGCTCGCCCTCCTCCACGCAGACCCTCGCCTCAAAGGCGGCGACCTAGGCCCCGTTCTGGAGCTAAGAGATGGAGACGTCACACCGACTGATGTGGTAAAGTTCCTAGGAGTTAATGTTGACAACAAGCTCTCTTTTAAGCAGCACACCGAGTACGCTCTGCGGAAAGGCACAGTCTGGCTGCAACAGTTCGGACGCCTAGCGCGTCCCAAGAACGGATTAGCGTCACGAAACGTGCTCACTCTTTATAAGCAGATGCTCCTCCCCGCTATGCTCTACGCCGCAAGTATTTGGATCACCCCCCAGCGCGAAATCGAAGGTCGCAAACGCACCTACGGCTCTGTCGGTAAGATCCGGAAACTAGCCCGAATACATCGACAAGCTTGCATTCTCATCACGGGAGCAATGCGGACTACGGCCACGGATGTCCTTGAAGCTCACCTGAACCTCCCTCCCTTTCACCTTCTCGTTGACAGAATCATCGCGCGCGAGGCCACCCGCCTCTGTGCACTCCCTCCGACGCACCCACTACATGCCCACGTCCTTCGCGCGTCTACACCGGTGAAGCGCCGGAAGAGTCCACTCCACGAAATACTCGAGGCATACCGTCTCCTTCCGCACGACATCGAAACAATCGCGGCGGTCAGACTCCCTCCTGGGTGGACCCCGCCTTTTATGGTCTACATTGCCGACAACAAAGAAGACGCAGCTGTAAACGAGAAAACCTGGGCCCGTAGGCCGGGCTACCGGGTCTACACAGACGGGTCCGACATTGACAACGGAGTAGGCGCGTCTGCAGTACTTTACAGGCCAAGTACTAGAGAACCCCAAGTCCTCCGCTACCATCTCGGCTCGGCAGCTCGACATACAGTCTACGAAGCGGAGATCGTGGGCCTAATCCTAGCGGCTCACCTCCTCATACAGGAGATCAGTGCGAGGGCCACTTCCTGTGCCGCCGACAACACCGCTTGCCTCCTTGCTGTGCAAAACCGGAAGCCGCACCCCGCCCATTACCTCATCGACATGCTCCTTCACGAGATCGACACCCTACTGCATCGCCATCCCGGCGTCAAACTCACGCTACGCTGGGTTCCTGGCCATCGCGACATCCCAGGCAATGAACGCGCTGACCAAGAGGCGAAGAAGGCGGCGCGAGGAGAGGGCAGCTCCCCTGCCCTCCTCCCGAGATGCCTATCAGAGCCCCTCCCCGCCAGCCTCTCGAAGGTAAGACAAATGCTCGCTGAGCAGTTCGCCAGCGCAGCGCGAGACGAATGGAAGCGCTCGGCGCGCTCCACAAAGATGGATCGCATTGACCCGGATCTCCCTTCTAAACGCTATATCAAACTAATGAACTCTCTTCCTCGAAGGCACGCCAGCCTCCTCATCCAGCTACGCACCAAACATGTCCCCTTACAAGCCCACCTCCACAAGATCACGAAAGCGGACTCGCCCACATGCCCCACATGTCACCTCGCACGAGAGACGGTACACCACTACTTATTGGAGTGCCCGTCGTACGACGAACAACGTGCACAGCTCGCTTTCACCCTCGGACCGGCCGCGAACTCTATCCAAACACTCCTCACCCATCCCCAAGCCATTCGACTTCTCTTCCGGTACATCCACGCAACAGGCCGCTTCGCGGCCACCTATGGCGACCTCGGTCTCGCCGACTGACCCACCTCCCTCCCCTCTCTTCGTTCCGCATGACCCTACTAGATTACCTTACTACAGGCCCGAGCTCCATTGTACTATACACCCGACTCTACCGATGCGCCAGAGAGAAAGCGAACAGTGCCTGCGACGGTCACAGTAGGAGCCGGGACGAGCGTTGCGATGCCGGGTCGCACCTGAGGGCGGCAGGTTGCAACAGTCAGCCCCGTGCACCTCGTTCGCGCCCCGCTTTGAGCCAGACCGCTCGTCCAGTCTGTTAGCCATATCGAACGTGTGTCGTCTCCCGGGCGGGAGTCCACTTCCTTCATACATAGACTCAACTCGTATATAGACCCAACCCCGATCTTATTGCGCCCGCGTCTTCTGCTACTGTACAAACACACTACTGCTACGGTCACTGCCTCGACACCCCACTCCACTCCACTCTCCTACTTTACAACCTCAAGCTCTCGCTTCGGCGATGAGCTCATGCTCAGCCTGATCCTTATAGAACATACCCGTACTTACTCGTAGAGCCAGAGTCTTGTCTACATAGGGCTAGGCCCTCGCGGACAATAAAAGGAATCAAAAAAAAAAAAAAAAAAAAACAACAAACCCACATTGTAGGACTATCTCAGCCCTTGCTTTCGACGACCTATATGTCCGATCACTGTAGGCCGCTCAGCTTTTTCTCCATCACGTCCTCAAGGATCTCCTGTCCGATGACTGTTTGCCATCTCTCGTCCTCGAGATTGATATCCTCAATCGTAGCTTCCCCGTCAAACTCGTCAAGGCCCATCTCCTCGAGAAATGCCTGGACTTGCCGATGTGAATAGTCGGCAGTAATGTCACCGCCAACGAAGTGAACACACAAGGTGTGACGAAAGTGTTCACGGAAGAAGTCGCCTGACTTGGTCCCCGCCGGGATTTTCTCAAGGCGAGAAGGCAGGCCGCAGCCTATGGCCGCTGCGTCAAATATTCGGACTCGGTACTCGCCCTGGCGGCTCATTAGCAAACCTCGGTTGAGTGGGAGCCTCTGAGTGAAGATGTAACGAACGACTCACATCTACATCGACGCTGAACGCATTCGAGTGCCACAGTTTGTAGATATCGCTTCGCATAGTCGCCAAATTGTCGACGTCCTGGAAACCTTTGGCTCTGAGTAAGAGCTTTGATCTCTCTACTCCCAGGGTTGTGATCTAAAGCTGTCGTGAGTAGTTATTGCCACGCAGAGTCTGATAAGAAAACGCACGTAGCGGACCATGCCGGGGGATAAATCCAATGCACATCTACAGGGCTACTTCCCGACTCGGATTGTGTAAAGATACACTTGCCCTCGTCACGCGCAGAAGCTTGATCGCGGAGTGTATCTGGTATGTTGTACTGGGTGATCTCATAATAAGCGGCTAACGAGATGACTCGTATTCTGAGGGCCTCACCAATTCCAAGCTCTCGGCACTGCCGGGTGTTGGTGTCATTTTAATAAACATCTGCTTCTTTTTTTCGAGCGATACGACAGAGTAGGAGGCATTGAAGGGAAGGGAATAGGGAATGAAGGATCGCCGATCTGACCATGGTAAGCGGCCAAGAACTTTCAAGTGCATGAATGAATGTACCTACCCATGTAGTAACAACCATAGTCTCCGGGGCCTAGAACATCGGAGATCGGGATAGTTTCGAGAGGTTCGGGACGGAAGCTAAAAGGGCGTTTGCGTCGCCACGAGACACGTTTGACCTCCATTACGTCGACCCCACCAAGGCGGGAGATCATGTTGATCCAGCGGACTAGAGTACTGCCCGTGACGGAACCAACAATGTCCGAGCTGAAGCCTATACAGAGTATGTCATTACGACACTAAAGCTCATCACAATCATGATGCACAACAGCGCACAAGCCATAATTTCAGATGTAGGAGTCGAAGGCCACCATATGAAGATGTCTGCACGGCGTGATTGTGACCGTCTTGACGCATGCACGCGAGACATGGCCGATACTGAGTACGTGAGGTGCTACGGAAGTCCTAAGTTAGTCGACAGGGATGACCAGGAATATCAAGTAGGGTTGCGACAGCTAATTCCATATTGCTAGACCGCCGCCCGAAAATGCGTGCACAAGCGGAGGGCGTCGGGCCTTCGTCTGGCTTTGTTCTCAAGCGACACGCGCGCACGTACCTCGGCTTCAAATTTTGAGCTTGTTCGCCCTCGATGCTACCGCTTGTACACACTGTTCGGCGAGGGGTCCAACAATATAGAACGAGCTGTAACATCTTTCTGGGTAGTGCGTGCATAGTGTTGAATCTGTATGACGCTGTGAGGAAAGCGTACCGTAACTTGAACTTGGTCTGGGCGAAGGAACGTCCTCAGGCGCCTGTGTGAACCGAATCGCCGACGCCGTGGGCCGTGGCGGGCGACCTGCATGTCTCTCCGCCCCCTCATCGTCGGCAGCGCTGCTCGTAGTGCACAGACCTTCACAAGACAATGCCGTCGAAATCATAGACTATACGCGACGGAAGCGACACAACTAGCCAATGTCGCGCTAAAGCCGACAATATATGGACAGCCGCTAACCCCGTCTCATCCCCACCTTGGTGCGTTTGCAATATCGAACCGGGAGGAAATGGCTTACATTTGCAACACAGTCAAGGATGGAGAGCTGGTCCCTGGAATGGCCTCGCAAGAGTACGAGACGCGGCGACGCGCGCTGATGGATAGCCTGCCGTCACACAGTGTGGTCATCTGCGTCGCTGCACAGGTGAAGTACATGAGTGGCCGTGCGTACGCACTCTCCTACTTACTGTTCGAATCTGACTCGCTACCTCAGAGATCTTGTAAGCCTACTGCCTTTTGACAGCTAACTTCGTTTTGCTAGACCC